TGTGATATGAAATGTGACGTATTGGCCAGTTGATGAGCTTTTTCGCTAAACTGCAGTTTTCATTCAATGTGTATCGCCGGTATATTCCGGGAAGCTGACCACTTGGTAGACGTGATTTCCACCAAACTCAAAATGCAAGTGATGCCGATTTTGCGTTAAAACTAAACGTTTCGCTTTGACTGAGCACAGTGTACAGGTATTGACCAAACTCGTGCAATATCCTGATTTTCATCACATTTCTTCCTCTCAATGCTTCGTTTTGCCAGCCTCAAACACGAAGTCAAATATGATATCGCCCCACATCAGACGTAATATATCTGATATAATAATCTTTTTATGTCATTGCTTCGATTAGGCACATGTCATTAAAATAAGTGACTTCTCGATTTTGACGACGGTTGCTGGTGTATCAGTTGAAAGATAACAAAGTCACAGTAGAAAACATGATTAAAATTTATTTATTAACATGACTCAGACTTCATACAGATATTGTACTTTCATCTCGTCCATATTCCATTGGCTCTACTTCATTTTGTGGTACTGAAGGCAGTCGCTATAACATGGAGTCCACCAAGTTGACAAACTAATAGAATTTTCAAGTTTCCTCTAGTAGACTGCACACACTTACCACCGGCGACTAATATCAAGTTAGCTAACCTATCCCTGTTTCTGATACAGGGAAAAGTTTTCGATCTAATTAAAATCGCAGCTGCTTTGCGGTGATTGAATGCATTTGTTATTGAACTTGCCCACCCCCCCCCACTCCCAGCGACTGAACAAAGGTGAAATAATAATATTTATGTTCAACCGTTTTCTACCATCAACGTAAAGTGAGAAGATATACCAAACTTCATCTGTGAAAAATACGACTTCCGCGAATGCATTTTGGGATTGACAGTTATCAAAATACTCCCTTAGCAATGCAAGAAATTATGCTATTTCCATATTGGCATATGCAGCTGCATTTTAAATTTACCCATCCAACTAACAGAAGCATATGGCATCCACCAGTTAGCATGTGAACTGACTGCTCCGACAGGTTTTTCTGAGAATACACCGAATTCCAATGTAAAAAGACCAGTGCTATCGGTGTGTCCTCGTAACTCGGCGGGTAGAGCGTGCGCGTACAAAGCGTGGGCGGCGTCCATGCGTGGGTTCGAATCTCACCGAGGCTACTGAACTTTTCACAATCGACATACAAATAATTTATCAATTTATTTAGGCTAGAATATTTTCGTTAATTTGCTTTAAAAAGAATGAACTCCCATGCTGCTTTGCCTAAAAGATTTTCTTAATTAGAGCTATAACTTTCGAAATACTACAAATTTTATCCCGTGACACTTAAGGCCACACAAATTCAAACGATGATAGGAGAGAACTGGGAGCATTGGAGTGAGAGATAAACTCAAGACTGAATACACTTTACCCATAGCCATCTGTATATAAGTAGGATATTGCCAGCTGAGATAGATTTCGAAAATGAGGGTGATGTTGCATGAGTTTTGTCAACACCTGTATGTGCGGCCCATTATCTTTACCCTTCACAATTCAAGTTGCCTTAATATCATTTCAAGATGTCCGCGAATTATTTCAAATTGTCTGACCATCATACACTAACCAAAATTCATTCAGTTTACTTTGTGTTGTTGAAGTAAGGCTATGTGGTTTTAACGATGAAGATTATCAAATTCAGAGCCCATACCCAGAAAAATGTATTTTTGAAAACATTACAATTTTGAACTTGTTTTTTCTTATGAAATTCCCTAACTGTTATGAAATTTGTGCTATATTTCGACAGCCCTTGTTGCGTTATTTCTATTACATTTGAGTTGATAGAGATATCTCACTCTGAGTGGATAGTATGCTTGCGTTTTTCCTGTGTGGTCCTCTGGGTTTGCAATCCCCAGTTGGGTCGATTGATTCGCGCACAGATGATGAGACCCAACCCCGTCGAAACACCTGTACAGCTTTGATTCCAAACTTTTCAGTTTATGCTTCATTTTTATATATGCCATACGAATTTCCGCTTTCAAAAGTGATAACCTCCATACACTGGGACAAAATTACCACACATGGATAGGTTTTAATCTTTTTTCTTTCATTTTTGTTCCCTATTTTCGGATACGCAATGATACAATTTTCAGGACGAGGGGAAGCGGCTAGTCAACACAATGGTATACAACAGAACCGTGG